CCAACCCCGCAGCTGGACAAGACAGAAAGCTGAAATTTCAGGGCAAAATTTTTTGCCTGTGTTCGACTCTGAAAATTCTAGACCCAGTTTGCATGCATTCCTAGGTTTCACGTGCAAACACATGAAAGTTTTGGCCGATTAGAACATTCCGACGATTTCCTCACATATCAAGCAGTTATTCAAATTGGACAGGGTTGCACAAAACACATTACCTCAGCAGCGATACTGGTAGGTATCGCTAATTATAGCTTCAAGAAAACTTTTCACAACTGCACTGTCCCAGCTTCGTGTCTGTGATATTCGGAAGTTTAGGGTTCACCATTTATTGCCAATAAAAAAAGAACTTTTAGGCCATATCCATATCCATAAAAATTTTAGATTGCACTTACTTGGCTGCGTTAGGTGTTGCTGCATCATCGTGTTGATGGTGAAATAAAGTTTGAGGAGCAATTTTGTGTCTTTCTGGTTTGCGTCGCGTCAGCGGCGCAGAACGTATATTGTTAACTGCGACTCATTTCTAGAGAAACTCCAGTACTACTGTAACCTTAAAAACATGAGCCCACATCTCATTACATTTCACGTGCTACTGACGGCCCAGAGCATTCAGGCATTAGCTCACTGTGTGTTCGAAATGACCAAAACACTGCGATCGCCCGCTGCTGCTCGATCTGTTCCAAACGCTCTTCAGACTGGACAACGCGTAGCACTCATGACTTTCGCACGTAGCGCACTCTTTGTTTTGGATTGAGAATGTTATTGGATTCAAATGGTTGCTATTATTAAAATCTTTATTGTATTATTTAAGAATTGATCAGTTCCAGAACTTATTGAAATGTAATTCCAGTGATTAAATCATTTTCTCGCGGGCTACTTGTCCGCCTTTTTGGCGGCTGGTGGGCGCTTTTGGGTGCCACTTTTCTTCCCTTCATTTGCATTGACTGGCCGCCCCTTCTGCTTCTTTGCTTCGGCGGTTCCTTAAAACACACTGCGTGTTAAAATTTCTGCAGGAGAAGCGGGGCACGCTTATTCATCAGCAGCGAATGGCATAATCACTTTAATTTATTACTTCGTGCGGATTCATAAATATCCCAACATTGGCGCTGCTGATAAACATAGGCGTTGCTGATCCAACGTAGGCGCTGCTGATAAAGAGGAAGCCATAGTTCTTGAGGAGATTTAGTCCAACTAAAACAGTTTTTCAGTGGTCTATAATTTGTTCAACGATTCGGCTCCCGTGCTACTCTTATACGTTCCGATTTTCTAACCCACTATGCTAGCGTGCACAAAAATTTAAAGCAACGTTGGCGAGCGGTGTAAGTAAGCCATTGATTGGTGTCAAAAATGCATGCAAAAATTAGCGGATCACTAAAAAAGCAGCGAGAAAAAGAAACGGTTGTTTTTGTAAATCATTATTTAAGCCGCACAGAATTCGAAAATATCCAACAAACCTCGACCGGCCCCTTTGGACACCAAGACCAGCGCTGTCTAAGATGCAGCTTTCTGCCGTCGTTTTGGCACTGTTTCCTTTATACCATATATAAATGCGTACGTTTTGTATGTCCAGTATGCGAAATGGAAAAAAGGAAGAATCCCGCTTGGTGCCCCCTCTTCGGTGCGGTTGGGAAGTCTTTCTGCGGTTGGCGGGTCAGGTCAGCAGCATGGAACTCGGCAGAAGAAAAACAGCAGGGTGAGCAAGTTACCGGACGTTTTTTTCCATCAGAATGGGCTAAATGGCATTTAGCACTGCTTTATGTCTTGAATTTGATGTGACTTACTTGGCCGTAACTTTCTTTGCTGCCAGCCGCGTGAGTGGCGCCACCCCTGTGTTGGCTTCCTGTGCCGTGTTTGTCGGCTGCCCCTGCTCCTCATTCTTGCCTTTCGGCTCCTCCTAAAACACAGTGCATTGCTTTCTTGCATATATCGGTTCCTTCCAAAACACCAGTTCAACAAACTTCAATTTTTAATTTCGTTGGCGTCCCTTTTTTTTGTTCCCCCTGACAGTCCGCCATACTTGGCATTATGATATCAATAAAAACAATGCTGAATTGCTGCCAGTACTGTGCATATATATAAAAATACGTTTTGCTTGTCCAATATGCAAAATGGAGATCAGAGAGGTTTGCAGCAGAAGGTGAATTTCAGTTGGTGTAATTTGGTTTTAGAAGCGAAGAATGATGGAACAGGATGGACCCAGATTTGTTCTGTACGTTTGTTGTCTGGAGTGCTAAGTGCATTGCGTAGTTCATACGTTGGTAATGTCGACTGTAGCTTGCGGTGTTACTGTTTTTCTTGAATGTCAGATTGCATTTTTTTTTTTTGTTTTTTTTTTTTTTACTGAAATGGAAATGCGAGAGAAGTGGGTATGGATTATGTAATCCACAGAATGCCCTGCTCTGAAATTGATCTCGGCAGAGCTTGTCAGATTTTCGCTAAAAGGAAAATTATCATGAAAGAAAAAACAGTAACACCACGGAATTTCAGCTTTCTTGCTTCCACAGCTGTGGAGTCGAATCATCCGGAGGGACGCATACACACATGTATGCATACACTGGTGCTCTCGCCTTAACGCGTTTTCATTTGATATAAATGCGAATCCTACGTAAAAAATGAAAAAAAAAAAAAAAATTGACTTGTTAGACTGACTGTGGTAAAGGGGACCTCGGAAGCTTCCTGTTTTACTAAATATAGGAAGAGGTTTTGAGGAAGAGTGAACGTCTTAGTGCGCAAACCTCCTGTCGGAGACATAGGTGGATTCAGGGGGTGGCAATGGGTCTTCCACCCCTTCCCGCCCGAGCGGCACAGGCACCAGTACTGCAAAAGTCCGAGTCTAAAGACTAAAACTAAAGTTTAAGGTAACTGTAAGTAGCAGTGTGTTACAACTCTATTCCTAGTTTTCGCATAGTTCCAGGATGGGAGGGATCTCCAAGCAGGAAAGACATGTGGATTCTTGCTGAGCTGTAGGGACTGGACTACGGCTGCAGTCGAGCATCGACAGCGGTATTCTTCGGTTATACACACAGCGACTATTTGAATTGCCGCCGTTCGATGTTCCGTTGCACAGCGACCGGGTCGCGGCCATGTATGTTTTCGTGCTGTTGTGTGTGTGTCAGTTCCACGTGTGCTTGTTTTCATGTTTTGTTTGCTATGTTGCTGGAGTGGAGGAGTACGTGCATCTTTTTTGTGTTTATTTCTAGGAGCACGCCTGAATTTTGGGGCTGCGTGAGAGATATGCCATATAGCAGAGTCACGTTATTAGATTTCACCTCAGTATTCTCATATTCTTCCAGTCTGGCTAGCACTCGCATGTGTGAGAAATACTAACGAAAATAGTTTCGTTAATAATAATATTATTATTAGTAACGGTAACAACAATGATGATGATAGTAATGATAATAATAATAACAACAATAGCAACAGTAATAACGATAACAATAATAATAATGCTGGAGGTGATGGCCAGTGGAAACTGGCGTCGCGTTTGCTGAAGGCTGAGTGTTCGGCTTCACGTGTGTGACAACCAATCGCTGTACGATTCGTTCATTCGTTTTGATGCTACACTGGTGCTGCCGGCATCTGTCAGGGAGTCGCTTCGGCGGCGGCGATCCCTCAAAAGAGCAAGCTGTCGGCGAACTTTAGAGTGTCTGCGTCTCTCACAACGAACCCAGTACGGTGGAGTTTTTGACTTTCAACTGTTGCTAGTGATGATTATTGTAAGGGCACTAGTATTAATTGTTACTGTAACTCTTGTTTCGCATTATCTGCTATAGCTCTGTGTGTATGGCTGTGTGTGTGTGTGTGTGTGTACGTTTGTATGTTTGTTTGTCTGTGTTTGTGTATATGTGTCTGCGCCTCTCACAGAGAACTAATGAGGAGTTTTTTTGTTGATAGTAACTGGGGAAATGTGATCGCTGAGTGTAGCTAATAATCAGGGAATATTTGGATTACTTATGGTGTATGGCTGAGCAGGTTGAGTATTTTCTTCCGGTGGAGGCCTTCCCGATGATCGTAAAAAAAATGAATAGTACGGAAAGTCTGAGCAGAGTGTCGTAACCAGAATTAGGCACTTTGGTTTAGCTCTATTTCAGAAGTTTTTAATCTGACAAGTTAATTTTCACTGTGATAGAAATACTGTTATTAGTTGATACTTGTGGTGTTAAAGAAGCATTGTTTGTTTGGTTGTTATCTGTGTACGTCATAATTAAGCAGGGGAATAGCTCAGACGTTCTGGATTCTGGCATATGCATTGCTGCTTTTTAAGCAACTTTAATCCTGCTACTGGGTGCCGTTCGCACTTGTAGTTACCGGTGCCTTCCAAAAAACTTTCCCTGTCCCAATACTCTGAGCTCTATCGTTTCTCCACACATCCATTTTTTGTCGTTTTCTCCCGGTCTTTTAAGGTCTGCTTAAGTTGCTATTGCGTTTTCGCCAACCTACCTGGCACTTGGAGGGTTTCCCATTCCCTGCGGGAATCTCACTTCGGCTTCCAAGCTTAACGATTTTAGGGAAAACGTGAAAATTCTTTTTATGCGTGACCACTCAGTCATGGTCTTTGGGTCATTCTCAGGAAATTTCGGCGCCCTAGCTGCTTCTGTTACGAGGTTTTTATGATAGTAGCGAAGAAATGCTTTAAACCTGAGTAATTAACATAGTATTGGAATTGTTGCCGAGGTCACTGAAAAGAACAGACTGGGTAAGCTGACGGGAAAGACGGTCTGACAATCAAACGCTCACTTGTTATTGAGTGCTGCATCGGAGAATTGTCCGAGAAGCAGCCTAATAGTGGTTTGATTTGATGCTGTGTTTTGGCAAGGTATTCAAGGAGTGTTTTATCGACAAAATAACCATAACTTAGTAATTTTTGGTGTGCGAGGATGGACTGCTCCTGGCGCTGCACTTGGCCGTCGCTCATCCGCTCATTGCTTTGTGTGAGCTTTGATGTGAATTTACGGAGAAGTGGCGAATATCGTTGTGCGCCGCGGCACTGGGTCGTGTATTTTAGGATGGAGTTTGTTTTCAGGAAGATGACGCTTCAGTGGTTTGTTGTGGCATTAATTCTGTATGTGGAAATAGCGGTCATACTGTTGCTCCTTCTTCCCTGGATTCGTCCTACACTGTATGTCCTCTGTTCTTCTTGCTGTACTGGATCGTCTTCCCGTGCCCTCCCGTTTATTTTACTTTTTTTTGCTTCAATAGCTAATTACTTTGCTTTACTTATTTCTGTGTTTGTTTTAGGTGGAGTAAGCTGTTCAAGAGTCGATTGGTGAAGGCCTTCGAACGGTATGCCAATGTATACTTCATCTCGGCTCTCTGCATTCTTCTGTTACTTTTCGCAGGTGCATTTTGCTAAAAATATAGCGCATCCTTCTGATTTTCACTTGTTGCAGTTACTCTTTTTTGTTTTTAGGGGATGCTGAGACACTCGGAAATTGCTGGAGCGCTGTTTAAATTAATTGCTTGGTGAGAAAAAGAAAGAAAAGGGGAAAAGCAGTGAGAAAATAGAGGTTTAACAATAAATAAATATGGTGGATAGAGGAATCACTATGTATAAAAAAGAAGAGGTATTTTTAAAAGGGGAGCAAGGAATGCTTTGTAAAGAGGATGAGGGAAGAGAGAGGGGAGGGGGAGGGGGCGAGAGGGCGGCGGAGTTAAAAATCGAGAGAGAACTTTTTCTGAGTTTCATAATTATGTTAAATCTGAATATTACAGATGCCATAAGAGAAGTGCGCAAATATGCAGCTGAGGTAGCTATGGAGGCATCAATCCGTCATACCGCTGATTCAGAAAATGTCATTCACATGCGTCTTTTCCGTGCCCAGCGCAACCTTTATATATCCGGATTTGCGCTCCTTCTTTTCCTGTTTGTTTTTCTGGATCAGTCTTATTGGGGATGCGTCGCCGGAGATGTGTTTTAGTGTGTGCGCACTGCTTGGCATGGTGAAATTGATGAATGTTGGCTTAACTGCATCGGCAGTGTTCAGTGACGGGTTTGGTATAATAAGATTGTTACCTTCTCTTTGGCTCGGGGTCTTTGGCCACCCTTGCCCACGTCCTGCTGCCTTGTGTTGCGATGATGTGTTGAGACCGGTGTGTATGTGACGTGTATTCCAGTTTTGCTTTATCCAGCTTTTAGTTGAATATGGAGGAGAATGTAGCTACATTCCAAAGCTTCCTTCACTTCCAAAGCTTCCTTCAGTTCGTTTATCTTTGAAACTTTGTTGCTGCGTATCATCCACTCCTTCACTTATTTGCGTGTT